AGAGAGAGAGAGAGAGAGAGAGAGAGAGAGAGAGAGAGAGAGAGAGAGAGAGAGAAGTAGATCAGGTTATAGATAGCGTGAGAGAGAAAGGAAGATAGATAGGGATGTAGATAGAGTGTGAGAGAAAGGGAGATAGATATAGAGAGCGGTTTGTTGGTTGGTAGGGTGGGTTGGTGGTTGGGTGGGTTATTGCGTTTGTGGTGGTCGGTGGGGTGGGTTGGTCGGCAGGGTGGGTTGGTCGGCGGGCGGGTTGGTCGGGGGGCTGGGTTGGTTGGGGAGTTGGTTGGTGGGCTGGTGGGGCAGCGGGATTGGGCTACAAAGTTTCACCTACGTTAGAGTGTGGCTTAATATTAGTTTGTGTGTCTGTGATTGTTTGAAGAAAAGAATCACCTTCTCCATGGTTGAGATTGTTTGTGATGAGCCTCTGACCAGCTTTGTCATGTGGGCGAAGCTGCACGGACCCATCTTAGTTTATCTAATACATTCTATCAAGTTCCTACGGCCGGGAGACTGTGTCCATCTGTGAGATGGGCCGTCCGATAAGCAGTGAATTTTCTGGCCTCTATCGACGGCTTGCCTGAAAATGTGACTGAAAACAAGCCATGTACGGGCACCGCAAAAAAAAAAAAAAAAAGGAAATGCACACCAACGCTCCATGTCATGATGGGCCTCGGTGTAGAGGGAAACCAAAATAAGAAAAAACGAAAACGGCCTTGGGATACTGGCCTCAACGCACCGCTGACCAACATGTGCGGTCTGCCGTTGTGCCTCGCCGCACCGCTCACGGAATGTGCAAAGTGAAAATGAATCTTCTGCAAGAACATTGAAAAGTACGTCAACGTAATTTTCCCTTTGGGCTGTTGGTCAGCGCGCGGCGAGACCTATATAGTCCTTTTTTTTGGGGGGGGCGGGGCTACGGCTGTGGTACAGTTCGGTTGAGAGATTTTCAATGTGGTCACACTGTGGCCACAAAATTTTCAGATTGGATGGAAGGAACCCATCCATAGTCGAACCCATTACTAAACCCTCCCAATTCGGGCACGGCTGCAGCTCGTAAAATGGTATATGGCGACGGCTGTTTGAACGCACCAACAGATGCCGCGGTTGCGGGTCTCTCTCTTCTATTCTCTTCCCTCTCTCTCTCTCTTTCTCTCTCTCTCTCTTTTCCTGTGTGTGTGTGTGGTGTTTGTGTGTGTGTCTGTGTGCCCTCTCTCTCTGTGTGTGTGTGCTCTCTCTCTCTCTCTCTCTCTCTCTCTCTCTCTCTCTCTCTCTCTCTCTCTCTCTCTCTCTCTCTCTCTCTCTCTCT